TAATTACTGATGATAATTAGAGCAGAACAGATGCATAATTTTGTCCTAGAATGCTGTCTTTCATAATGACAACTGCATAGAATCAGTGCTAAGTTCTCAATTTGATATAAGCTCTTTTATTGAAGACTATGTTGTGAAAAGATTGAGGATTGAATGAAGCCCCTTCTGGTATATTCTATTACATGCAAAACTATTTCAGCATAGCTTTGGGAGTTAACAAAGTAACAAAAATAAATGATTATTTAAAACTATGTATAAATTAAATTGGATTTTTAAATTTTTAGATTGGCTTTTATCTTTAAAAATTAAATCAATAATATTATGGCATGTTTCTTATTCCAAATGTAGATGTATTAAGTCGTTAACAGATATTTCCTGCATACATAGAATCCCTTGCCAGTCACACAGGGGCATTCATTTCAGATTTCCAGTCATAAATTTCAGAGGTGGAGAACAATGTTCACAATAAATAGTTACTACTGTTGTTTGAAAAAAAATGTTTCAATTCAATTTGTAAAAATCATTAGTTAAGCACTTTAAGTTCCTTTAGTTGTGAAACCAATTTTTCACAATAGGTTAGTCTAAAGACATAAAGACAATGCTTTCATCATTTAATATTAAAAGTAAATCACATAATAGTGTGGCAACTTTCTAATAAGAATTGGTACATTTTGAAAATTAAAAACAATTTAGTTGCAAATATAATTTAGGCAAGTTTCCCAACTGATCAGCTGTTTGTTTTTTCCCTTGTTAGGCTAAGGAGATACTAACAAAAGAATCAAATGTTCAGGAGGTTCGTTGCCCTGTCACAGTGTGCGGGGATGTCCATGGGCAATTCCACGATCTTATGGAGCTTTTTAGAATTGGTGGGAAATCACCAGATACAAACTACCTATTTATGGGAGATTATGTTGACAGAGGCTACTACTCAGTGGAAACTGTGACACTTCTTGTGGCATTAAAGGTGAGTCTGTAAAACAGGTTATTAGAAGCCTACCTGTAGTGTATTTTTTAGACTGGGATTTTTAGTATATATTATGTACAAATACATAAGCATATAACTTGGAGTAAAATGATATAACCAATTAATGGCTATTTATTTTTTATATAGAAATCTTGTTGTATTTTAATTAATATTTATTCTTTTTACTGTAAATCACCCAGAGTCGCTCTACAGTATTTGGGTGACAAATTTGGGTAAGAAATTTGAAACATAAACATAAATATAAATAAATGGATTATTACACTGCCTGTTCATTCTCTGTGGTTAGGTGCGCTACCCAGAACGCATTACAATTCTAAGAGGCAACCATGAAAGCAGACAAATTACACAAGTATATGGCTTTTATGATGAATGTCTACGGAAATATGGAAATGCCAATGTTTGGAAATATTTCACAGATCTGTTTGATTATCTCCCTCTTACAGCTCTAGTAGATGGGCAGGTAAGCAATGTAATGTAGCTGTGTGGTCTCATTAGGTTTTATTAAATGAAGTTTGATCATTTGATAATATAATTTACATAAATGTATTTGCATAATAAATGAGAACCTGGTACTATCTTTTTTGCTGCTGTTGAAAATCTTTCTCAAGAATAATGCAGATGTGTGAAGGCTAGTATAACAATTGTCTAATGATAGCATAACTGTCTGATACTGTGCCTCAGATTTCATGTCCTCAATAAATGAGAATGTCTGTTTACACATACGCAATACATTTTTCCATAATAAAGGGTAAATATTCAGAAGACCTTATAGTTCTAGATAGACATAACTTCTAAAATGCTTAATCTAAAAAATCAAATGTGTTGTTAGAGTAGCTTAAACATTTGAATACTCAGGGAGATCAGAAGCTCTACTAATTTTAGTTATAGTTTACTGTATTGCTTGAACCTGACCAGTTGTGGTTAAATGTAACTGTGGTTAATGGAAAAAAAATTAGCGTTATGAATTTCAGAGGCAGTTTCTAAGATAAGCTACAATTATCCAGATTTGAATGACTTGACACTTAGATTCAGATAATCTAAATCAAAAGTAAAAACTGCTAACACCTTTCATATGGCTATCCCAGGGAGAGGAAGGCTGCCCAGAGTCATACCGAGTTGGGTGGCCTTAAAAATCAAGAAAGAGAGGAAGGTTTTAAGACAGACATTGCCTGCATATGTATAATTTGGTCTTTTCTCTTATTAGATCTTCTGTCTCCATGGAGGTCTTTCTCCTTCTATAGATACACTGGATCATATTAGAGCACTTGATCGTTTGCAAGAAGTTCCACATGAGGTAATATTACTGAAAATGACTTAAGCTTTTATGGAGATTAGGATATTTTCACATTGTTGAAGAATTTAACTTGTAGAATGTTAAAGCAAATTATTAAGTTTTTAGAATTAAAGTAAATTTAACATAGAAACAGCTACTACTGTTCCCATTTATTGGAGTTATATACATGTGTACAGACTTTTTTCATTTTTAAATAGGGTCCAATGTGTGATCTATTATGGTCAGATCCAGATGATCGTGGTGGCTGGGGGATTTCTCCACGTGGTGCAGGCTACACATTTGGTCAGGATATTTCTGAAACATTTAACCATGCCAATGGACTTACGTTGGTGTCTCGGGCTCATCAACTTGTAATGGAGGTAAAATTATGTTGCACCAGTTGGTTGAGGATTTAGATAAAAAGTGCCTTATTCTTTTTGGAAAGAAGAGTTTATATGAAGGATGTGCAGTTATTTGAATCTGAAATGGGAAAGGTGTTTCAGATCTGGCATAGTTGCACTAGCTGTAACTATCAGCAACCATGTCTTTTCTTAGTCCTGCATGGTAGCTGTGCATTCCCAGGTAAATACATGTCACAGCAGCCACACTGTGTCTTTGCTTCTACTTTTGTGGTACTGTGCATTGCTGTGCAAGATTAGGGAAAGATGCAACTTCTTTAAAGTTCTGCTGACTGGTACAGTGAACACACCCACACCTCTTTGGAAGTACTTACTGTAATCTGTCTTTGGATCAGAATATCACAGTTATTATATATAGTCTCAATATAATTGCTTTTTTACAGTAGGCAAAAGTAGTCAGTATAATCTGTATGAGCAAATTTCAACTAATCTATTAATCCATGCGCCTCTTCAGACTTTATTAATTCATTCATCAGTCACTCCATTGTAACTAGCTTTATATTTTACCAATTTTAATGGACAAGTCTCACTTTTGTAGACAGCTTTTAAATGAGTGAATTGGAGGGTTTAAAAAAAAAAGATGTATAGTGTTTAGTACTTCATAATACGAACATAAGTCAAAGGATTATGATCACACAGGATCTAAGGATAATGTTTTAAAGAATTTTGTGGAAGACATGAACACTTCAAATTTTTATCTGAGTGCATCAAGCTCACTGTTAACATCTTACTACTTTTCAGCAAAAAAATATTTGCAAAAGATAAAACAAGGTCCTTTATTGGTTATCTCTTAGTTAAGTCATGTACCTTGTTTAATTGAAACTATTTTTCCCCATTACAGGGCTATAACTGGTGCCATGATCGAAATGTAGTCACCATCTTCAGTGCACCTAATTACTGTTACCGCTGTGGAAATCAAGCTGCTATCATGGAACTAGATGACACTTTAAAATATTCCTTGTAAGAACCTTTCATTTCAACAAAATATATTTTAACAGAAAAATAGAGAAAGAAAGATTGCAATTTCTGTAAAGTGAACCATAAACCCAACAGGTTGTAATTTTGCTAAGCCACAGACACAGAAAAATCAAACCAAAGGAACTAAGGTAAACACTAACCAAACTTAGCATGGCATGTGCACAAATAATTGCTAGGCCTTTAACTGCACTGGTTGAACATGTTATATGAATGGAGTTTGTGAAAGACCGGATAGAACTGAGAAAATTATGAACTGAAAGTTGCTGTTTCTTTCACATACTTTTGATTAGGCAAGGCAACGTTTTAGAACAGGACTTACTAATTTTAGAGTTATATATAAAAAAGTCAGTTTTATAATGGTATCTTTTGTTGCAGTTAGTGCAAAATATTTTCTTTTGAATGGCTCTCATAATAATTTGATTATATTACCAGTCAAGGTTTCTGTTAATGTATGGTATTTAGTCCTGTAGCAAGTTACTAAAAATATAGGGGGATAGAGAACCTACGAACAAGTTGTATGTGTCCCCTCTCCCTAACATCCCAAACTCACGTCTCTGAAATTCAGTGGTAAAATAGCTGGATTTCAGTCCTTTTTTCCCAGGATCTAGGTAATTTTAGGTTTGGAATGGGAACAGCTTGTCTCTGGGTTTCCCCCATTTCCAACCCACCCTAAAACACTCTGTCTGCTCAAAGACTGATAAAAAAAATCTCAGATCACTGGATAGCTTCCTGCACTCCTCCTGAGAACTCCTCAGACATTGGCCATTTGTGGTATAGCATTTTTTTAATCCAAAAAAAAAAAAAAGCACTCTAACTCTTAAAACTTACTTTGACTTGATTATATGCATGTAGTTTACATAAACTAGTAATATATTCACTCAGTATTCTTCAGTAAGCTGTTGAGAATAGCATATGAACAAGTTTTTATGTTAATAATGTACACCAGTTAAAAGTAAAGGAAGTGTTTTCTTCTTTCCACAGCCTTCAGTTTGATCCAGCACCTCGCCGCGGAGAGCCTCATGTTACTCGACGTACCCCAGACTACTTCCTATAAACATCTCAGCCTGGCCTTCAGCATTACTAGTATACTTGGCTTTTTTTTAAAGCAACAATTTATTTGATAAGTTGAGGTCTGTCTCAGCATAAAGCCTCTTTATGGACCAAACTGTGCCAGAATGAGGATGAGCAGTTTTGAGCACAACGTAAGACTGACTTCATTCACTAAACCTTTATCAGTCAATCCAACAGCCAGTTTGCCTGCTGTAATTGTAGTAACTGGACTGTTAGAGAGAAAAGGTAACTAATTTCTCCCTTTCTTGCTTATATGTACATTTTAGTTGTAGTGTTCAACTGGCATGTATTAACATTTTGAAGTTTAATGAAAATGTACAAACTAATGTCCCTCTTAAGCCTATTGCCCTCTATTTTATTGACATAAGTAACTTAACTGGAGAAAAAAAATCTCTTGGGAGTATATTGTCATAAGCTTTCTTTCCATTTAAACTAGGTTACTGTTCTGTGTTGATTCCTTTTTTCTGTATATTTGTCATGAAAGTGCTTGCATCTTATTGATGTATTTGAACAAATAAATCTGCAGATCATTATTCCAAACAGTTGGATATGCTGAAATGGAATAATTTATCTGTCTGTTTTTCTCTTGAGCATGCACACAAATAATTATCTGCCTCATTGCATAAGATGATCAGGTGACAGCTTATGACTGGAAATTGAAAGACCTTGGCCTGATATTATCACTGTAAGGTTGTGTTTGTATGACAAACTTCACTGGAGACCATAGTAATAGAATTCTTCAACTAAATTTTCAGGCATACTATTCAGGTAAAATCCAAAATTACCACCTTGAATTGTTTTAACCCAAAATATGATGTATTTAAGTTTGATAAAACGTAATTCAAGAGGGTAAAGACTTCAGATTTAAACTAAGAAGTTTAAAATAGTAAGCCTGAAATCTCAAGTTAAAAAGCTGCTTTAAATAAGGGGCAAAATGATAGCAAAATGATGCTATGGACTTACTAAGGAGTTTACCTGAACATAAAATGCAAACAGCCTAATTCTCTTAACAGGAACACAAGTGTAATAAGAGTTCATGCATTCCATTTAATTTAGTATTTGTGAAAATGGAATGAGACAAATTCCTAGAGTGGCATTCATTAGTCACATTATCTCATATGCAACGCACGTGTGCAAGTATATTTTAAAGTTAACATTTTGTGCTACAAATATTTTGTAGAAGTGAATCTTACAGGTTGTTGATTCAAAAAAGCAATATGAATATATCATTGTATATATCACCTAGGATGCAGCCATCTCCCCACTCTACTTTTTTCAATTCTCGTAACTTTGAGAGAATAATATTGCTTAATAAGATTATGACTGAATGGAAATTCTTACCACTATGCTTTGCAGAATGTGGTATTAACTCTAGAATTTACTTTTTGTGATGAAAAGCTTGTTCCCTAACTTATAGTTGCAAATGTCTGTATATTGGTAATTTTTGTTGGAAACAAATCAAAAGAATAGCTGTGTAGCTTGTGTATTGGATTTTAATATTATGGGGGGACAGGACAAAATAAGCAAAACTAAGGTGGTTTAGTTTTTTTTACAGAATATGGATTAATACCATAGTCTTCTTGCTATACCCTTGTGGGCTAAGTTCTACACTAGTTATACTTGTACTTCCCAATAGGCAGGAAGTGGCATCTTTCACAATCCAGAGGCTCAGTAAACCAAAATGCTAATTATTAGTGTTTGAGATCGCAGTACTTCCACCATTTGTTCCTACATGGCTCAAGACAGGTTTTTTTCCATTTTAGATTTTACTTCCCGTTTGGGGTTAAGTGTGAAGATTGTGTGATAGTTTGCTTGGTACTCTAGCCCATTTTACCATTCACAAAGTCTCAATAGGTGGCACCATCTAACTACTTTTGTCTGCGCTCAGATTAAGCAGGGTTGAGTCTGGCCAGTACTTGGATGGGAGACCACTAGGAAATACCAAAGCAGCAGGCTACACTGAGAACTTGAAAACAACATGCCAGAAAGCAATGGCAGATCACTTCTATATTGATGCCAAGATCACTACATGAATATGAGTATGTCCAAAATGTCACGAAGAATCAAGCTCAACTAAGGAGACTTTTTAAAATTTGAAATTATTTAATTTATAAATTAAATTATAATTAATTTATAAATTATATCCATGTGTATACCCCTCATAACAGCAGAATGAAACTTGTCTTGAATTGCATGATTTTGTAAAAAATTGTACTTCTTTCACCATGAGAAAAAATAAGCTATGTACAGTTTAACGAAGTGTAACAAGTTCTTCCGCAGAAGTTGGGTGAATAGCCACAGTCTGATCAAAGTCTGCCTTTGTTGCTCCCATTTTGACAGCTACTGCAAACCCTTGGAGCATTTCATCACATCCCAAACCTTGCATATGAAGTCCTACCACCTTAAAACAAAAGAGTCATAAACAGGTTAAGGACATGGCTTCACAAGGACATTTTTTCAAACTTCGCAGTTGTTCCTACCTTTTTATACTAGGAGCAATATTTTGTATACATATATGTTTTTTGTGTGTTGCTCTGTCATTTTACTAATTTTATACAAAATCTTGATAGATCATGCTTAGAAGAGTATTAAACACTGCACCTCACTATAATGCTTCATGCATCGAGTAAATATTAGTTTGATATGGGTTCAGTTTAGTGAGTTGTGTGAGCCTAGCCAATTATAATTTATTCAAGAAACAACCGTTCAGTGTGATGTATCGACTCAGCTTATATGTTAAGTAACATTGGTAACCCCTCTTCCTGTCTCATTCCCTTACCTTGAATAGGATATACATGAAAAGCAGTTTTAATGTACAGCATCTTCACTCCTCCCTGCTTTACTTTTACCTTTTCCTCTTTAGTGGCACACACCAGTTTCATCACACATTTTGTTTTCCTTTCCGTTACTGCATGGTACATTGGGACAAAGGAAGTTATGTAAATTTTCACATTCTCTCTTCCATAAGCATTTATGGCTTCCGCTGGAACAAAATCATACAATATCAGATACATTTGAATACAGGGGAGAAAAAAAGCAAAGAATGTCATGCAGTTGGCTTTCTGACAACAATACCTAATCATACACAGTATGCTACATCTCAAAAGGACTAAATATTGACAAGTTTGGGGATAGATGAGCAGGTCTCCTCCACATGTAGCCCAATTAAACACCTCAGTGGTTTTAATTATGAAAGGACTTGTCCAAAAGCATTTGGAGATCATTGGTTTACCAATCCAGGGTTTGTTACATGTGTCACATCTTAGAGTCGGAAGTATTTGATGCATATTTTATTAAAAAATCCAAGTAAGCTTGATATCATAGTTTGTAACTTGGCTTCTGAACTCCTATGAATACAGACTAAATATAGGCACACTTTATTCTACGTCCCACTGCATTTTTAAAAAATATTTAAACAATAAAACTGATAGCATGATGGAGAACAGTGTTCTGAACTTGAGAATACTTTCAAATATGGTAAAGAGAAGCAGAGGGAATGTGTGATCATTCCCACTCCATAGTTTGTACTATAGTATCAGAGGTAGGAGGGACCTGTGCATCTACAGCATCAGTGATAGAAATTCTGCTTATGTATGCTTGTTTATATCAACATCTTGTTAATATAAAAATTCATAGTATATACATCCTTACCAAGGCATTCTTGTAGAAAATGTCCCAAAGGAAAAGTAGGAAACCTAACTACTCTCCAGATGTTGTTCAATACAATTTTAATCAATCACTAGATCCATAGGAGTATTTCATGTTATTAACAGTTCTGTTTTACTCATTTCTTTCTGCTCTTATTTTTCAAATGAATAAGAAACAAGATCCTACCTTCTGTTAGTCCCACTGTTCCAATAGGTGGATGACTGAAAACCACAGTAGGAATGTTGGTATAGTCAAGTTTGAAATCTTTTTTATTTTCAAAAAGCCTATGTGCCAGTTTCCTTCCAGCTGCAATTGCAACTGAAAAATGCAATTCTTATTGTCATAACAATTTATTCAATATGTTTTATTACAGAGCACTAATATACAGTCAAACCATACTTCCCATCTTCACAGCTCTTCCTCACCCACTTTGCTTTGTTCTGTTTCAGAATCCCAAATTCACATATTATATTGTCCTTAAAAAAATGGTTACCTGGTGTAAGGAGTGCTTTCCCACATACATCTCCAACAGCATAGATCCCCTTTCTGCTGGTATTTTGGAACTCATCAACAATAATATGACCACTCTTGTCTACCTTAATATTCTGATGTAAGAGGAAAAATTAAAATCAAAGCTGGTATCCTGAGCAATACCATCCAAGACAAAGATTGAACAGTATGGTATCTAGACTATGCAACTTTTTAGTGCCCACATACAAGAAGGAAGGAAATTATTTCAAAGAGTAAACAAGCACTCAGCTTATGCTTAATGTCAAGAGCTTTGAAAAGCAGATTTCCATAACCATTTTTCAAACAATCTAAACTTACCTAAGCAATGTGAACAAGCTTAGGATAAGATTATTATGGGGCACAGGTGGGCAACTGGGCTATGAACCATCAGCAGCCTCTGCCCCCCCCCCATGATTTAGTATGCCACCCAGAGTTACCTCATTTGCTGCATCATTTGTTCTCTGTGGCAGGAAAAATAGCATTCCATTCTCTCACATAACTACTATCTATCTCCAGCTGACTCTAACTACCACATTAGGCTAACTGCAACATAATCCGGATTATGTATACCATGCATCTAATATTCCATACAGCATCAAGAAACAAAATTCCCTCTTACCAACTGGTCAAGGTTTAGCTCCTCAGTATTGGGCTTTCTACCAATAGCCCACAAGAGACAATCAACATTCTCAACAGTGTTCACAGTGGGTTTCTGATTAGGAGGAGAGGATGTAACAGTTATTGCCAAGAGTCCTGAAGCTGATTTTGTAACTGACTGGATCTGTTGAGAAACAAGATTGCTGAAGAATGCTAGAGCAAGATGACACAACAAATTGTTCAGTAGTAGTTAGAAATAAAAATGCATTTTAAGGCTCTGGCCCTGGCTTTCCTCTTCAAAAATACCCTTCTCATTTAATGTCTATGCTTTGTCAAGTTACATATACAGCATGGCTAGAATTAGGCTGGAGTATATGGAGTAATGATGTCTATTTTGTTGAGAGATTCCATTTGCATGTGAAGAAAAAGCAAATGTAAGGGTAACTCCTGCTGAAGTCTCAAAAAGCCAGAAGGGACCCAGATATGTTTACTGAGGTCAGAAAATGAGGCTCAAATATCCTGCATTGCTCTAGTGCTCAGGGCCTAAATAATTTGTCTCTACCCCAATTCTTACAAAAGTCATTTGACAGACTCAGCAAACCAGGTTATTAATATGTAATCCTGGTTATAAGGAAAATTCCTCAAATATAATAATAAAAGTATAATAATAATGCAATATTCTCTTCAATTTGTTCAGGAATGCTGCGAAACTACCATAGCTGTTGTTCATTCATGAGACAGAAAAGCCATATGTACAATGATGAATGATTTGTTTCTACTTTTTCTCATACCGCAGTATTTGGATCATTCATAAACATGTTCAAAGAAGAAAGCTAAGTGCAATTTCTCAAACTTATGTATTATATTGTTTTGAAGACGTTAAAGCAACACACCTCAACAAGATAGAAGCTTCCAATTGAACCTGGAATCATTTAGCTGCAGTTTAAGAAAAGATGATGCATACAGGTAGTCCTCGAGTTATGACCATTCATTCAGCAACTGTTCGAAGTTACAGCAGCACTGAACAAATGGTAGTTACACCCAGTCCCTAAAGTTATGTTTGTTGCAGTGACCCTGTGGTCAAGTGATCAAAATTCAGGCCTTGGCAGCCTGCCCGCACTTACAACCACAGGAGCACTTCAACTCCCCGCATCCGCCTATCCCCCCCCCATTTCTGCCCTTTTGGCCACCCTACACTTGACTGGCCATGTCAGCCTACTGGCCGGCCAGCCCACCACATCTACCACCTTGCCCTCGCTGGCCCTGCCAACCCTGCTGGCCTTGCTGCCCTGCACTCGCTGCCCCTGCTGGCCTTGCCACCCTGCACTTGCTGACCCTACAGCTTTGCCACCCCCAGCTGACCATCACCATCTTCCTGCCATTGCTGATGAAGCACACCTGGCCTGGCCCTCCTCAAGGCAGCTGCTGGCCACATCAGTCCTTCTTCCCAAGGCCGGACCCACACCTTGTCCAAATCACATGTGGCCTTGTCCAAATTGCATGTGGCCTTTTCACAAGATTTTGGAAGGCTGGCGCGTGACATAAGGACCCAGTCAGTGTAGCTGGGGCCTTCTTTCATGCCCCTGCTTGCAAGAAGGCCCTGCGCGATTTGGACAAGGCCACGTGCAATTTGGACAAGGGGCAGGTGTGGCCTTGGAAAGAAGGCCTGGTGTGGCCAGCAGCTGCCACACAGAGGGCCAGGCCGGGTGCTCTTCAGCAGCAGGAAGATGACAGTGAAGGTCAGCTGGGGGTGGCACGTCTGGCACAGGCCAGCAAGTGCGGGGTGGATGGCAGGGCTGGCAGAGTGCAAGGTGGCCAAAAGGGCAGAGATGTAGGGGGAGATAGGCTGGTGGGGGGAGTAGGAGGAGGCAGTCCCTTACCTTACCAAGGCTTGGGGCTGGGAGAGACCAAGCCAGGAGTGGCTTGTATCAGGGTGGGTCCTTGGCTAATGACTGGTAGAATTTGGTTAATGACAACTACTGGGACTGCCAGGATTGCTGTTGCTAAGCAATGCAGTCATGCGATGTCACACTTTACGGCCGCATCGCTTAGCAATGGCAATTCCAGCCCCAACTCCCATTGTAACTCGAGGACTGTACATGAAAATTCAAAATTAATCATTACAACTGGGCACAGAAGAGAAAGCAGTAATTACCATGGAATGTTTCCAGACTTCTACTCCACTATGTTCCAATTCCTGAGTGCAGTTTGAACTGATCATTGAATCAAAATTTCTCAGCACCTGTATGGAAAGAATATTTTATCAGACTTGCAGTCTGCAAGTCTTTAATTATTTGATTATGGTAACTTTCTTTGTCACTGATTAACTCTAGTATAACAGAACATCTAAATCATAAACCTCACAAACCTGAACTCCCAAATGCAAATACCTCTCAAATTTATCCCACTGCACAATTAAACTGACATCTGCTACGTAGCTATTGCAAAAATTACAGAGAATTTAATCTACTGTATCACACATGTGTCATTCAAATTTCATAATCTCAATGTGAGTAAGACTGAGTAATTTAACCTAAGACCACATAGTGACTTTCATGGCTAAATCAAGATTTGAGATTAAATTCTCCTCACATATATACTCAGTGTTCTAGCTACTACACCATACTGGACTGTACAATCAGAAATAGGCCACAGAATTCAAGCTAAAGGAAAAATAATGTAAAGAGGAAGAGATAGAGAGTGCGAAAATGTGTATTGGAACAAATAGTAAACATACAAATATACACAGTTGGGTAAGAACATGATTAGCAGATGCTTCTGAGTTTCCAGGGGAAAAAAGTGCAGCATGATTTTAAAAGGAGGTTTAATTCTAGACCATAGTCAAAAGTGAAAAAATAATAGGTTTTAAAGATTTTTGTCAGATTATCAACACTTCTAAAAAATAAAATCAAACTTTTTAAGGATCTGCATATGCTAAAAAACAAGGAATGAGTGTGTAATGCAGTCTGTGAATGATCCACTACTGATGTAAATATGGACACAGACAAACTGATTCTGCCTTTTTATGAGATACTACCCAGCACGTGCATCTCTAGTTCCAACAAGGACTAGCAGTACTTTTCACTGTCACTTCGGAAGGTGAACAAGCAAGTGCCCCTTACCTCATTGTAACGTATCAATAAGGATGTCTTGGAGCCTAAAGCTGAAAGAATACCAGCTAATTCAACAGCTATATATCCAGCACCAACAATAACACTACGCCTAAGAGAAAGAAAATGGATTATTTGCTCTTTGAAATATATGTTAGCTACAGTAGGAAATCCATACTCCTCCACTGGATTCAAATCCTATCATCTTTGACCACTAACCATGCTGGGTGGGCCTAATGAAAGCAGTTACTTCAATAATATTTTTAATGCTTTTTACTATGAATGTTTCTGGTTTGAATTGTGTTCCCTCAAGAACCTTTTGATTGCAATGGTATAGAAGTCTAATAAATACATACCTAAAGGACTACAGCTTTTTCATCCAATTTATAACCTAAGCTATTAGATTTTGTACAGAAAGGTCTTGACTTAGCTTTGATTAAATCAGACAGGTTAAATATAAATGGTTTAATCAATGAAATAAATACAGTCAGACTGTTTATCAGTGTACATGTGCTCAACCAGCACGCTTTGCTGGGAATTCTAGAAGTTGTAGTCACCAACAGGACATCAGATAGGAAAAGGCACAATCTCATATACCTCTTGTCAAGATTTAACAGTCCCATATATTTTCTCAGGAAAAAAGTTCTATTAAGTTCATGACTGCAACCTTCAACTTAGTCCTACAATTGTTAAATTAACAGAAGCTGCAAGTGTTTAATATTGGCTGATCAGGTTCTTGGTTTGATATTTTAATCTAACTGACTAAACCTGATGAAGTACAGGCTCATCTATACACCTATTTGGATGTATGGTGCTTTAAGTATTGCTGCCTCCACAGCCATCTTTCACCTTGCCTTAGGAACAAGGCCAATACAGTTGCTGCCCCAAAAAGTAATGCCAGTTACTTTCCAGGTGGTGTTTGATCTTCTGCAGTGAGGTGGGGGGAGAAATTCTGCAGAGGGAGAGGCCATTGCAAACTCTGAGAAGAAGGAAAAATGATAGGAGGGATGTTCTCCATAGTACTTGCAGCAGAATAAAAAGCTGCCTGCTGCTTTTTCCCAGCCCGGAAGCCATCTTGTAGAGCAGTGTTTCTCAGCCTTAGCAACTTTAAGATGTGTGGACTCCCAGAATTGCCCAGCCAGCATGTTGAGGTCCACACATCTTTAAGTTGCCAAGTTTGAGTAACACTGATGTAGAGAATGACTGAGTGAATGTGGGAGAAGGAAGGGTTGCTTGACTTTGTTTGCCCATTCAATACAGGCAGCCCTCATTTAGCAACCACAGTTGAGACCAGCAACTCAGTCGCTAAGTGATGTGGCTGCTAAGTGGAAAATCACATGATTGCAACTTACAATTTTACCCCAGCTTCCCTTTTTCCTCACTTTCCTACTCTTTGGAATGCTCACCCGGCACTGGGATAATTAGCAAAAAGGGAATTAATGTTTGTATTTACATTCATTGGAGAGAAAGGGATTACAAGAGAGTAAGCAGCCACACAATGGGGAATACACATCAAAAACAGTGCACTGGCCCCAGCAGCCCTGAGCCTGTTCTTTTCCCCGCAACTCCTGATAAGTACATTGGAGCTCAGCAGTCGCTGACCCTTGGGAGGTAACTCTTCCATGCAACCAATTTTCACGGAAATTGGTTTTCCTCCAATTTCCCCAGAGCAAACACCACTTTCCTGCCAGGTCACATTGTGCCAGCTTCGACCTACCTCAGTAGTGGGCTGGAAATGAAACAAAGGCTCCACTATGAAGATACGCCTTCTGCAGAAGGTAAAGGCAAGAAGGGTATGTGATGAGCCCTATACCTGGGCTGATAAGATGTCACATAGAACCTTTCATCAAATCTGAAATTTGGGACAATTACTGCAGCCCTGTAGCAATGCTAGCTTGCTGTCTACATCTCTTGGTAGGGAATGAAAGACTGGAATATAATAATCCCTATCTGTTTTACAAAATAATCTTCACTGCAATGTGGCAAATTAAGAGTACTTAAAATGCTCAGAATTCATTGCAACTTACTTGGGCAACTCTTCAAGTTCAAAGAAGCCATCACTAGTGATTCCCAAGTTGGCTCCTGCAAAGCAACAAGACCTGATCTTCAATATTCATAATCTTTAGCATTATATATAAATAGAATGTAACTTGCACAAACATTCAATTTTTCTGACAGATTATTCTCTATTCTTATTGTATACTACTAAAAAAGTATAAATGAAATATTAAAGGCAACTATGTACTACTGAATCTTTAGCAATGCTAACGAAAATATGATGTCAACTCAGCTGCACATTCTTTCTTAAATACAGGGCAAACAGCATCATAAAAGCCATACCTGGAATCTCACTTTCACTGGGAATTACAGGCTGTCCACCAGTAGCAATCAGTATATGAGGCGCAGTGTATTTTTTGCCATCAACTTCAATTGTAGGTTCAGGATCAGATACGAATGATGCATGGCCATGAATGCTTTCCACGTGGTCCTAGCGAAACCAATTTTTGATTTAAAAATTAAATCTATTTATAGATTAGAGAAGGGCCTCTTACAACATAGTGTAATGTGGGCCAGTGTATGATATATATAAATAATTGAGTCTTTTGGGACATTCAAAATAAATTTTTAGATAAATTTCAAAAACAGAAGAGAGGAATAAAAGGCATTATTTATACTTCAGATTAATCTCACTCCAACATTTTCTTGACAAGAACTAAGGATCTCTAACATGTAATCCTTAAACCTCTCAGAAGCAAGCTATACAATTCACAGGATGACTTATCAAGACCATGAAAATTATAGATTTGAAATGTAGACTACCTGCAATGAATGAAGTTATATCACACAAGTGATCTGGACAGGATTCTTTTTTCCAATAGAGAGTTGTCTTTTTTCTTTAACTGTATTGTACCTATTTATGCTACAGTTTTCATGTGTTTCTCATCCTTAAACAATGGGAAACTGAAGTTTGGCTGTGTAGTTGAAGAGAGCTCTGAGGGCTACAAGTTGCTCATCTGTCTTTCAAACAATTTGGGATTGTTAAAAGGCAAGTTTTACACACGTGATTTGCTCTGAATCTTTTTTTTTAAATCTATATGTACCTCAATGAAAATAAATAAATGAATCAACGCAGGCTTTTCTTTTTTTCAGCTTGTGAAACTCACAGGGTTTACAGCAGGAAGGAGAAATTTAAAATTGAAGTGAAAAATAAGGCTATTTACAAACCTTATTCAAATTATTTTGATAGATCTCATTCAGTTTCTTCACATAAGCATCACGCTTTTCTTTAATTATTCTATAACAAAAAGAGTTTTATTAGTCTTATATCCTGCTTTTCCCCCAGAAGCACATAATGCCCCACTTCCAACGTATCCCCACAAAACCAAACCTGTTGGGTAGGTTGGGCTGAGACAAAGCAACCCACCCGAGCATCCAATGAATTTCCACAGCTAAGCATAAATTTGAACCTGGGTCTCCCAAGGCGTACTCAAATTGTTATAGTTCATTGGCTTTCCAGATTTACATCTCAAACATCTCTCCCTCTCCACAAACCAGATTAAAACACACCATTGTTTAACATAATGGGTAAACTCATTATAAAAACTTTCCAATGGATTGGTTATTCTTGCATTTTGCCATTTTGTATGCCGAAATCTGCATAGGGAGCTTTTTTCCAAGTAATAAACATAGAAATAATGTATAAAATTATCAGTCCTGTTTCAGAAATTAAACAAACAAGATTTCCTTGCAGTAAAGATGTCTATGCCATCCAATAGTTCATGATACATTATATAATACAACATTTGTTTACTATGGCTAAAACAGCATTTCAGACAGTGTGTCTCAGAATAGCACATATTTTCAATGCATATTACAGGGAACACTACTGTCAGAGCAAACACTACCAGTACATGAATTATTAGCAGTCTCAGAATTAAGTTTTAAACATGTACTGTTTTGATTTTTCACATCAGTCCCAGTCCAATCATGATTTCTTATAAAAATTTAAGAATAAAGCTGCACAGACTTCCAGGAAAGCAATGGCAGACCGAAGATGAGCTGACGACCTCAGCAGAACAAGGAGACGGCGAATGGATCAGCTCCTCAGAATTCCTCTCTGGAGCAAGGAGAGGACTGGGATTGCCCACAAGCACTCCATACAGTGGCTCCCCATGACAAGACCGTAAGACAGCAGTCTCCAGATGGTTTCAGAGCTCTGGGAGCCAAGGGAATAGCCAACTTTGCCTAAGCCCCGGTTCGGAGCCTTTTCAAAGGACACTGGGTTCACATACTTCCTTTCTTAATCACTTTTGGAAATTACTTGTTAACAGCTTTTGGGATATTAAGAAACTTCAGAAAGGCAAGTTTCATTACACCAGGTGAGTTTTCTTCCATCCTTGATGAAATAAGTTTCTATGTAAGTTTAAGGACTTAAAAAGAATTCTTATTTTGGAATAAACAGCAAAACGGTGATTAGAACATTGGTTTTAGAAAGTTAGAAATGGATTAAGGGGCTAGAGGGACTTGAAACAAGATTTTGAAATGAATTACAAGAATCCGTCCTGTGTGTTGTTTGAAACTTTATAAAAAAATATACGAAGATTTTGAAATTAAGTGTAAGGAACCTTCCCATGATGTTGATTAGAAAGAAAATATGATAAGACAACATTGAAGGTTGGACACCACAGGGAACCAGAAAGAACTAAAGATTATAATTAAAGGAGAAGAGACTTACTAATATAGAATGGAGCAAATTAATCTGACTTTAGAAGAGTTCAAAGATCTTTAGGAACAAGGCACTCAGAAACTACTCTTAGAATTGTCTATTATTATAAAAATGGATATAAAAGAGGTTACAGAAGAGGAACAGATTTTAGTGGACAAAATAGAGACTGAGGATGATTTGAATCTGCATCTGAAAGTGGATTTAAAAGTGCCAGGCTACAAGAATGATATAGAAAAAGATGTTACACTGGATTTACAAATGAAATCGGCTGATGTCTTCATAACTAAAAGGGACATACAAATAACAAATCATAAGAGTGACTTGGATAACTTTCTTGGATTTACAAAAGACATGGTAAACTTATGAAGGAGTTTCTGAAAAGAGACAAAGAGAAAATGGCAAGAGACCAACTTTTGGGACGCTATCTAAGCCCAAGATTTAATAAAATATACGGAAGGAATACAAAGTTGGTTTATTTGACCAAGGTTAAAATATATTATGTTGCTGTTTCTGATAGCTCGTAATGGACTTTTCTTGACTAGGAACTGAACGACAAGGTTTTAAAGGTTTATTTATAGATAAGAGATGATATATGGGAAGAGGAGATCCTCTGTTGTATTTTTAGAGAAAGTGATTATTTACTATGTTGAAAGGAAAGGAAAGGAATATAAAATTGGGTTATCTGATTACTGTTAAAATATATTTGTTGTTATTTCTGGTAACTCTTAATGAACTTTTGCTGACTAGTATTGAACAAGGAAGGTTTAAAATCTGTTTATAGATAAGAGATGAGATATGGGAAGAAGAGATTTTTTGTTGAAGTATTACAGGTGACGTTACTGAACTTGTTTGTACTTGTTGATGAAGGGGGAAGTCATTTCTTTATCTTTTTTCCTTTTTGCTGCACTTTTTTTTTCTTTTCTATATTTTTCTTAGTTTGTATTAATTTTTTTTCTTTGTATCTATAAATTTCAATAAAAATCATTAAAAAAAATAATAAAGCTGCACAGATAATTCAAAAAATTAAAGTGAGATTCTTTAGAAAATAAAAACAATCTCACCATATTAAACTGTGTAGCCTTTAGGTTATGAACACTACGCAGTACATAACCAGTTTTGTCTATAAGTAAGATTCTTCAGACCTGATAGAGTGTTGGAATCCCACAGATAAAATCTGGATATGTATGTCTGAAAAGTCCCTATGTAGGACAAAATCAGTCGCGTATTGTCTCCTGGAGGTCATTTTAACTGACATTGTAGTTTTCACTGTAAGTTTCAAATTAGGAACAATCCTATCCATTTATTTTACATAAGAGGTATTCCAAATTTTAGTTCAACTTACTGCCAATTAAACTTCACATCAGCTATTTTAAAACCATAATTCATATGATCCTGGATGAATTCAGAGTGGACAGCAGTATTCCACATCACCTGTTTCAAAAGAGAACATCCAGAGTTTAATATAAAAATAAATGAACAAATAAACACAATTATTATTTTACACAACACAAAGTCAATACTTCTATTTTGCAGGGAGGGAGAAGTGTAAACCTTGAAGTTCCTACTTTGAGACAGTGGACTGGACAGATCAGGGCTCATAACTCATGATATATGGAATCCAGCAGTTACATTATCCAGTATATTGTGGCCTACAAAGAAGCAAGCTCCTTGCTTTGTACTCATTGGCAGATGGCAAAACAGTTATCTTTTTCAATACCCAAACCATATGTGGCTGGCGTACTATGTTCAGTTGGGCCTACTGGAACATATATGGGCCCAGCCAACCAACTTATTGTCAGGTTCGGTCAGCACGAGGCTTCAGGGAAGCACGGGGTTGCAGGGAAGCTCGCAACCAGACCACG